TAGAGAGATCAGCACTGGCCCCCGCACAAGCACGAATGCAGCATTTTTGTCGGTCGTCCTCGGCGATGCTCTCGCATGATATTTCTCAAGGTTTATAAAGTATTCGAAGTTTTTTTATATGTTTTATTTCCTATTTCCCCAAATTTAGCTGACAGCGATAAGCGTATTATTATGCCCTAGTTTGATTATTTTGTCTTTATCATGATATTATTGTGAAATGCACTCATACTACATCAGGAACATTTATGACTCCATGGTCTTTTGTGTTCCTTCTTTTTGCAGGTAAATTTTGAGGCAAAGTTGAAAGATCATCCTTTGTTTAATTAGTTTTATGTTAATCACAGTGATGCAATGGTTAACTTTAGACTTTATTATGTTTTGTTCCTATTATGCAATCCCCAATCCACTAACCAAAACAATCATGTTGATTACTGCTTGTTTGCTATTCAAAATCAGCAAATTTCATAGATTCATTCTACTATATTTAATCTACTTGCACATTGAGCCGCTTTTTGTGCAACAACTTTTCACCATCTTTCTATACTCTTTAAGTTAAGGAAGCTCGTCCAAATTTTTGGTAGATTCCTTTATGGGATTTCTCTCTAAAATGAAGAAACTATAAATACTACTCCCTCCGTTTTATATTAGATGAGGTACTTTCCTTTTTAGTCTGTTCCAAAACAAATGACACATTTCTAAATTTGGAAATAATTAAACTTTAAACTCTTTATTTTACCCATTTACGTTTAATGAGAAGCTTTTATAGCCACACAAATGACATGGCCTCACAAACCTTTTACCCCTTAAGCTTTTAAGACCACAAGTTTCAAAAGTCTTCTTCTTTTTTCCTTAAACTCCGTGCTGAGTCAAACTACCTCATCTAATATGAAACGGAGGGAGTAATTCACAGCTATTCTAAGTCAAGCATGTTGGGAAGTATCTATGTTCTAAGCTACTTGCAATGCTTTTCAGTTAGCTTTTTCTCATCCAGTAACCTTCGTGTCTTATATGCAACCTTTTTTCTTTCTTTAAGAATTGTGTGTTTCCTTTCAGCAAGGACATTGAAGGAGGAGCCTTCCTATGGCAAAGATGAAAAAAAAAGGGACTTCAATGAAGGTCCTGGGGTTGTTCGAATAACACATAGTTCTTTCGTATGCCTAATTATTATTATTATAGCACCTACAGATATGTGAAGGATGCTGAGACAAGGTACTGCTTTGTTTGTTAATATTTGTTGATCTTTGAGTGCTTGGTGAACTGCTTTACTTCTTTTGTTTTTTAATCAGTGAAATTGCTGACCTAAGTTGTACGCAAGGTAGAGATTTGATTCTTTCTGAAGTCCTCGGCATTGAAATTCCTTGACTTTTCATAAATGATGTCTCACTCTGAGTAATATAGCAGCATATAAATGATTATGCAGCTCGTGGGATCTATTCCTGATTCCCAGAAGATAGTGAAAGTTGGTTCAACAGATGGACTGCAAAATGAGAAGACAATGGTACCTAATGAAGTGAATTATGAACTTATAAAATTGATTGCCTCTTTGTTGCAGCCTATTGTGCAAGCGGCTAGTTCTGTCTGTCGAAAACGGGTACCACATGTATATGAGTTTTCTGTGTCCGAATAGCATAATTAACATAACCTAGAGCATTTGTAATGCAGTAGGATGTTTTTATCCTTTGCACATCTTGCGTCTGTTGTTCTGTTATATATGTGTTAACATCAGAATGTCTAGATGGCTAATATCATGCGGCATATGTATTTTCAAGGTCAAACAAAATGTATTTGGTTCTATTTACCCCTTCCCTAGTAATCCCCAACTTCCTTTCTTACTGATTTGGTCTGACAGAAAGGTGAATTAACTGTGGTTCTCCTAATTCTCGAATTCTCTCTTTACCAAATGAAGTAAATTGGTGTAGATCCTGAATTGCTGTTAACTGGATTTTCATTTACAAGCAGCGGATACTAGAAGGTAGATCAGACTCAACTGGTCTGCTTATGTTTGATCCTTCATCTAAGCCAAAAGGTTAATTGGGAAAAAAGGTTACTTTATTTCTCTATCATCAAATCATAGATGATAAGTCTCAACCCTATAGTGCCCAAGTCTTTTCACAAAAGAAAAAGAACCTTACTTGTTTAAGTATATAATATGAAGTTAATTGATGGTCAGATCCTTAATTTTGTTGCTAAGCTTCTTACAAATAGTTACACCTTTTTCTAAATCTCAGGCTTAGAAATAAAGGTTAGAAGGAAACAGCAAAATAAACTAGATAACAAACATATAAATAAACCTTGGAAAAATATTTGAATTAAATCGGGATACTTTTATTGGACAGTACGAGTGAAACGAATTGCTAGTTGTTTCAGAAGCTAAAAGGGGCATTCCCCTGTACATTTGAAGCAACGATAACCTAGCCTTTGTATTAAACAGATTAGAACAAAATCTAATGCTATTGTATTGAATACAGAGAACCGGCATAGACGAGGAGTAAATGCCTAACAACAGAAGACATATCTCTAATTCGTGAATGATCTTGGATGATGTCTTGTTACTGCTGCTGTGTTTCTTCGCTAAACTTGAATTTGGACATACAAATCCTTAATTGTTGAAGAGCGTATTCACCAGGTTCTCCAATGCCTCAGGAGTCATTCGAAATCCATCTCAATGCAGATACGAAGCCCTATCAAAACATGCAATTTGGTTCTGCTCCATACTGTTTCTGCATATCAAAGTTGAATGGACTGTCGCTATAGCCACAACATGTCTTCATCAAAGTTTTTGCTTTAAATACCAGAAAGCAATTTTTAGAATAGCCGTGAATGCTTTGCAATAATCAGCATATATGACATGGACTTCAGGGTATTTCAATCGTAGCTCCAGAAGTGCTTGATAAAGGTGATTATTTTGAAGCTACTAGAACATATTCAGTCCCCTATGGCATATTCTGTTTTTGCGAATTGGATGACAGTGGGGAAACAGAGTCCAGAGTCCGAAAACCAGGAAAGCAGCCCATGGGTTGACTTCCTGATACCATAACTTTTTTTAGTCCAGCTTCATTGATGAGCTTTTCAAATGAACTTTTAATAGTCTCCACCACTTCAAGCATAAGATGAGACGCTTCAGATATAGATTTTCCTTGTAAGAAAGCTTGCTTGTAGTCATTGATGCCGAGTTGATCCATAAAGATAAGTGCTTTCTGAAGAACCTTGTTTCTGCCACAGTCATGAAAAAAGGTGCAGTTTTTATAGAAGAACTTCATGAAGGTGACAATCTGTAATAGGTCATGAGACTGAGATGGTGGTGGGATGCCATTTTTTAAGATGAAAAATGACATGATTGTAGCTCAAGGAGTTGCAAATCTCAGTCCAGACCTGAAGTACTTAGTGCCTTGTTGGGTATGGCTGTGGAGAAGGCAAACTGAAGGTTGTAGCAATTTGATCAGGAGATGATGATTGTTTGCTCAAAAGTTATCATGTGCTTTATGAGTGACAAAACAATACAAATAAGTTACGGGAAAATCATAGCAAATCGTAATAATCCATCGGACCAAGCGAAGAACATGAAAATAAGTACTCAAGGTTAGGGGAAGAAATCTTAACAGCTTTTATTGATAATATTGGTTTGGTCTGCCTCTCCATGAAGAGGTTCAGAGCCTTACAATGGTGTTTTCTCTTTCAATAAGATGGGTATATTTTTCTCTTCTCTCTCTCTTTTGTCAATAGTGGTGAAGAAGCAGCCCCCTTTCTAGGGCTTCCACTCTTAGTATTTATAGATGTAAGCTTCGTGAGCTGGCAATAAATGGCCGTGGCCACGCTGAGGTTCCGTCCCCATGGGGGAATGAATGGGCCGTGCCCTCGTAGATTAAATCGGACAAGAGTCGAATCCTGTTATGAATAAGTGGCCATACCACTTATTAATTATGGATTAGCTCAAGACGAGATTAACACCGTTAATTACCGTGAGATCGGATTCTGACCCATACAGTTAGTCCCTCCGCTTATTGAGGTCGTGTTTCGGCCGAGCTCGATGAGCGGACTTCATCGATTGTGATTTGAAAAAACTCGAATAAGGGGGTCGACTTATTGACGGCGGTGGCCTTAGCCGTTTACACGTTGGAGATGGCCGTAGCCTTTCATATATTGGAGAGCCTTTCATACATTAGAGATGGTCGTAGCCTTTCATATATTGGGGATGGCCGTGGGAAATGAGTATGCGCCGGGTACGTATTTGGTCACGTCCAGAATTTTGAAGGCGCACGGCACATTCTTTCAGCGTTCGCAGGCCGTTGCGATTATTCTGACGGCGGGACGTTGGCGGATGGCTGAGAAGCCGCTTCGAAGAGCTTGTCATAATGACGCATGCTTCGGCAGAACCGAACCGTTTTACGGTTGGTCGTGCAGTTAATGATGGCTATTGGGTTTCGCGAAAGCCATTTATGTTGCCTGTAAAGGTGGGTTGAGGCATTCATTTCTCATATCTTCATTGTTCATCTGAGAGAGATTCTGAGGAAACTTTTTCATTCTGCTAATTCATCTTCTCCTTTCTTTCCTTTGATAGTGATAACCTTTGTCTTGCCCACCGAACTCTATCCCTTTCTCTTTAGTAGATCAACAATGGCAACAGTTCTTCCCACGATGCTCTTTCGGTAGATTTTCCGGTAGTTGAAGGGCCACCTCCGGCAATGGGAGGTGCAGAACAGATAGAGACCGGAGAAGTTTCGTCGGTTGACGAGGTAGTTCCTCGGCCCGGAGGTCTGGCAATTGATTTCACTGTCGACGGTGGAGAGGACCCGGTGGATGAAGCCCCGTTAATGGGGGAGATTGGGGTGGCCCAATTACGGGAACAGGGGGTCATTCCCACCCATGCAGACATCGTTCTCGCTAGAAGCGATGAGAGGGTCCACACCGACCGCAGGGGATACTGCATTTTTTACGCCTATACTTTCAGGTTGGGGTTCAAGATCCCGCTCCCAATGCTGGTGGTGGATTTCTGCCGTTATTACGGGGTGTGCCCGGGTCAGCTCACTCCTTCCCTCTACAAATTGTTGGCAATGTTCATCAAGTACGCGGAATTGGCCCGTAGGGAGGTCACGCTGCAGCATGTGCTTAGTCTCTACGCTCCCCAGAGAGTCCGTGGCACCATGATTCAGGCGTGCCCTCGTGGGTCGAGAGGTCTGGTCATGAGATTGGATGACGAGGTCGACCCTCGCCCTTTCGAGCACTTCTTTTATATCAGGACCAGGCATCTGGTGGCGGATGCTACTGGGTTCCCAGAGGCTTGGAACCATACACGTAAGTTCTTTAGTGGTTGAATTCCCTTTTCTTCCCCTCTTTATGATTTGTGATCATGAGCGCTAACTCGTGTCGTTTTTTGTAGCCGACAGGTCGCCGCCGGCCCCATTGTCTTGGATACGCGAGTGGGTCGAGGCCGTACTCCCCCATACGGTGGGGATACGCACATGGGCATCTTTCTGGGAGAGGCATGGCCGTAGGCCTGTGGCAGGTAAAAAATTGATTTCTTCTTCTGTTCCGCTTTGTTTCAGCTCTACTCATCAACTTTGTTTTCCTGTGATCAGGGAGGGCACGCCGCGTCAGGGCCCCTCAGTTGGCCTTCCGTCGGCCTGGTGCAATTGCTCGGCTTACTGCAGCGCCGGTGTCGCGCTCAATACCGAGTGCGGCATCAGTTGAATCTTCAGCGGTTCCTTCTCCAGCACGGTCCGCGCTTCGGGACGAGGGGCCATCGGGGGTTGTGCGCCCTAGGGCGGAATCATCATCAGACGGGGTGGAGGAGAGGCCCTTGATAAGACGTAGGGTTGTGTTCATGCCGGCTCCTCTTGTGGTAATCAATCTGGAGTCCCCTCCGATGGATGCGGAGAGGGGTGCGGTCGCGGCGCCTGCCCTTGAGGGTGAACAGTCAATTGTGGCTGCCCTGGCTGGCTTAGGCCATGACGATGCCGTCGCTTCGGCGACTCAGTCGGTGGTTCCAGTTGCTGATACGGGAGGTAGTTCCTCAGCGGCTGGTAATGTCGGTGAGTTAAGCACTCCTTTGGCGGCTGCGGCGGGAGATTCCACCTTGCCGGCGGCTGAAGGAGGAAGAGATGCTGTAGAGGGTGAGTACGAGTCTGAATCCGACTTGGACCCCGACGACGTCCGTATGTTCCAGGAAGGCTTCACCAATTCAACGGTGCGCGCAGAGGGGCGCTCTCGCTTCATCGAGGTTCCCACAGAGTTGAACTTATTGCTCCAAGGGAGTGGCTTGGTGCCGCAGTTTGAGCTGCTATGCTCGGAGGCCGAGAATGCGTCGTTGAGGGGCGTTACGGATATCGGACTGATGAATGAAGTGGCCGTGATGGGCTTGAGGGTATGTAATACGACGTTGATTCGCTTCTTCTTTGCCTTAGTTTGTTCTTTATCTTAATCATTGTCTTTGCTTTGCAGTCTTATTTGTTGGGGGTGGAGAGCATCCGTCGAGCCAAAGTCCGCTCGGGGATATTTTTGCGGGCGCTGGAGAAGTACCGCCGCTACCGAGATCGGTGCCGAGAGTTGAGCGTGCGCTTGAGGAATGATCCCCGTAGCCGGGCCTTGGTCGAGGAACTGGCGAGGCGGGAGCTTCAGGTGCAGCAGGCACTTGGCAGAACGCGCGCCCTCGAGGAACAGCTTCGTCAGAAGGACGAGGAGCTTGAGGCGGGAAGGCGGGACGCAGCTGAGAGGGAGCGCCAAGATCAGGCCAAGGCAGCGGAGGCCGCTGTGACATGGAACGGGAAAGTGACCGCATTGGAGGGTGAAGTCGCGGCTTTGAGGCAGCAGGCGGGGACCGCTTCGACGAAGGTCGCAGGGTTGGAGGAGGCGCTTCGTGTTCGTGAGAGGGAGTGGGGGTTGGAGAGAGCTGCCGCGGCCTTTAGAGAGGCGGGGCTAGAGGACCGCATTGGGGTCTTTGAGCGGGACGCCCAAGCCATGGCGGATCGGATCGCGACCTTGGAGGGGGAGAATCAGCGCCTACGGGACCAGGCCGCCCCTTCCAACCAGGCTCGCGAACTTTGGGTTTTTGCCGAGGCCCAACGCGATGTATATAAGAATTTGTGGGAGGCCGGTATCGTGACCGAGGCTGCGTTCGAGGAAGCGCGTCAGAAGGCTCGTGAGGCCCGTACCGACTGTGGTTTTGACGCGGCGACGCCAGAGGTTGGCGATGGTGCAGATGACGGCGCGGATGGCGCCGAGTAGAAAGATTTGTTGTATTTTTTGTTTCGCTCGCCGCTTGGCGATTTGGGTGTTTCTTGTTTTTCTTCCCCTTTTTTTTTATTTACCGGCCTTGGCCGGGTGTAAGCGGGGATGACCCGTCATTGACTTTGTAAATATATAAATTTTCTTTTCCATTGCCTGCCTTGTGCTTGTTTTGTGCCTTTCCTTTTTCCCCCTTAGACTTTTCTTTTGCGCGTGTTCAAGGGGTGGTTTGCTGAGTTTGACTCTGGTAGGCATGTTAATTTCTGGTTATTAGCGGCCTTGCTTACTCAACTCGGTGCGGGCGAGTCTTAGCCGTTATCTGGCGATAGTGGCGCTTAGCCTTAGTCCCAGTTCGGACGCGGTCGAACTACCGCTCGTGATGGTAAAAAACACGGCCTCGTAGTTTGACCAGGGCCGAACTTTACGAGGCCCGAAACTTAATTCGAGTTTGGAGTACTTACTTGAATGGCAAGGGTGCCTATCCTGCGCTTCGATTCATTGGAGGTCGGGCTTTGCTTTCACAGATGAAGGCG